AAGGGACATTGAAGAAAGCCAAAAGATAAGTAGCAAACTGGAGAAAGATATTCACAATAGGCAGAAATAGCAAAGGATTTGTATCAAGAATAAGTTAAGAACTCTTTCAAATCAATAAGAAAAGCGTGCGCACACACACACCCAATAGAAACAGAGGCAAAAGACATGAACAGGGATTTCACAGAAGAGCAACACAAATGGCCAATAAACGTTTGAGGAGCTGTTCAACCTTATAAAATTTTGGAGAGATAGTAATCCACAATCTCTCTTTTTTATTGCTGGTGAGAGTGTATAATTGCACAACTACTTGGGAATATAGTTTCCAAATAGTTTTAATTATTTTCTTTACTTGAGCACTTGCATATTTATGATCCTGTAAGTCTATTATTATGTATATGCCAAAGAAAACATCTTGGACATGCATGCGCAAGACAGGACAGATACAAGACTGTTCAGACCAACACTATTCATAACAGTGAAAACCTGGAAAACAACCCAAATGCCCATCAGTGGGAGAGTGGGTAAATAAACTATGGTATAAACAAGGTAATATTATACAACAGTAAAAATTAATTAAATAGGGCTTCTCTGGTGGCGCAGTGGTAGAGAGTCCGCCTGCCGATGCAGGGGACGCGGGTTTGTGCCCCAGTCCGGGAAGATCCCACATGCCGCGGAGCGGCTGGGCGCGTGAGCCATGGCCACTGAGCCTGCGCGTCTGGAGCCTGTGCTCCGCAATGGGAGAGGCCACAACAGTGAGAGGCCCGTGTACCGCAAAAAAAAAAAAAAAAAAAAAAAAATTAAATAATCTATAGAGACAGAAAGGTTAAGTGGTTACATGGGTGGAGGTGGGGCTTGGGGATGGGGAGTGAAGCTCATAGCTCATGGGGATGGGCATTTCTTCTCCGGGAAAGGAAAATGTTCTAAAATTAGATTATGATGATGGTTGCACAACTCTGTGAAGATACTAAAAAACGTTGAATTACACACATTTCAGTGGATGCAGTTTTGGGTATGTGAATGAAATCCCAATAAAGCTGTTTTAAAAACTACCAGCTCCAGTGACACCTAACAGTTTTATCAACATTAAGTGGAAAAGGTAAGTCCCAAAAGACTACATATAACAGGATACCCAGACTTCCCTGGTGGTGCAGTGGTTACGAATCCGCCTGCCAATGCAGGGGACACACGTTCGAGCCCTGGTCCGGGAAGATCCCACATGCCGCGGACCAGCTAAGCCCGTGCGCCACAACTACTAAGCCCGTGTGCCTAGAGCCTGTGCTTTGCAACAAAAGAAACCACCGCAGTGAGAAGCCCATGCACTGCAACGAAGAGTAGCCCCCGCTCACGGCAACTAGAGAAAGCCCGTGCACAGCAACGAAGACCTAATGCAGCCAAAATAATAAAAAAAATTTTTTAAATTAAAAAAAAAGTAAACTAAATGGAAAGAAGCCAGTGACAGACTTCTGATGTGTCATGAACCAAAGATTATGATCAATCTGTTTTTGTGAATCTGAAGTCCCCCCAAATTAAAAAAAAATAAAAATATAAAATAAATTAAAGCTACACATGTTAACATGGATAAACCCCAAAAACATAATGTTGACTGAAAAGAGCAAGTGAAGATATATATAATTTTTATGAAGAGATATATATATATATATATATACAACATGGATGGGTATTGTTAATAACAAATTCAGGATAGTGGTTATCTCTGGGAGTGGTGAGAGAGGAGAAAGGGAATAAAAAGGGCTACATATGGCATCAGCTATATTTGTAATGTTTTATTAATAAAAACAAATATGACAAAATATTAAGATTTGACAAATCTGGTGGTGGGTACACAAATGTTTGTTATATTTTTCCTTATATTTTTCTTTGTGCTGGTATATATTTCATAATTTTAAAATAAACGAGTGATAGCATCAAAGATTACAGATAGACAACCAAGTCAGTAAAGCAAATTAAATTGATAAGAGCAGACGTTTGGTATAGTGGAAGAATAGAGAACTTGGCCTCTGAAGACCTGGGTTTGAGTCCCTGCTTTATCACTTACTATCTGTGTGAGCTTGAACAAGTTACTTAATTATTACCTAATCAAGCTAAGCCTCAGTTCCCTTTTTACAAAATGGAAATGAAGGGCTTTCATGAAGGCTAAATGTGTATTGCTCCTAGAGCACTGCCTATAGGTGCTGACAAAATGTTAGCTATTATTATGTTTTTGTGCTTTCAAAACAGCATTTACTCACCATGCTAATTAGAACAAAAACCATCTCAGCAAGAGTGACAAATTCAAATAAAAATCTTTTATTGTAGGAACTGCAAGCTCAAATATCTGCAGAAGTTGGGCAGTTGTGGAAACAGTGTCAGTGGACTGGGTTTAAGTAGTGTCACCAGTAGTAATAGGGACTCTGGTGAACAGGAAAGCATATACCATGCTTAAAGGGAGAAGCTACAGTTCACTTCCATTCAGCTATTGGACCAGTGTTGTTACTCTTAGTTTTCAAAAAAAAAACCTCAGACAAAACAAAACACACACCTGGAGGCTGGTTATGGCCAAAGACCACCAGTTTCTGGCCCTTGCTTTAATGTTTAAAGTGTGTATGCTGCAGATACCAGGCAGAATGCACTTGCTCTTCACCTCCCTGTTTTCCCTGGAATTCCAGAGAGCAGTTAGGACGGTGGGAACTCTTCCTTTTCCAGATGGAGCTGATGGTTGGTGGGGGCAGTTTCACGGTTATTACTGCTCATATAGTGGCCATCTCCGCTACAGCTGAGAAAAGGTTATGTTGATACTTCTGGCTCCTCTCAAGTGAAGTCCCCCTATGTCTCCTGTGATTTCAAGTTAGCTAAGGAATTTGAGAAGATTCCTTAAAATAGTTTTGTACTCTCATGTAAGTTCCTGCATATCCCTAATTTTGTCAAGACCAGAATCCATGAACCAGTGGACTAGTTGCTGTGGTTATAAAAAACTGTCCAAAGTGAAGAAAACCAGGAGAACATTGTGATTCCAAAGTTAAGGGAAGACGGTATTTCAAGAATGGAGATGAATACCGTTGAAAAGTTAAGTGGAATTAAAAAAAAATTTAACTTTTTATTTTGAACTAATGTTAGGCTTACAGAGAAGGTGCAAAAAAGATTTCCTGTATTATTTTTCACCCAGTTTCCCCAGCGTTAACATCTTACATAACCTTAGTATAGTTATGGAAACAAGGGAATTAACATTAGTACAATATTACAAACTAAATTAGAGACCTTATACAAATGTCACCAGTTTTCCCACCAATGTCCCTTTTCCTTTACAGGATCCTTTCCAGGACTCTACATTAGATTTACTTGTTATTTCTTCCCAGTCTCTAGCAGTCTGCAGTTGTCTTCAGATCTTTCCTTGTCTTTCATTATCTTGACAGTTTGGAAGAGTATTGATCAATTCTCTTTTGGAAAGTCCCCCAATTTCAGATTGTCTAATGCTTTTTTCATGATTGGAATGAGATTATACATTTTCAGCAAGAATACCACAGAAATGATACTGTCCTTCTCAATGTGAAATATCAAAGGGTTCATGATGTAAATATGTCTTGTTACTGATGATGTTTATCTTGATCACTTGGTTAAGGTGGTTTGCTGAGTTCCATCATTATTTTTTTTAATTAATTATTTTTTTTGCTGCTCTGGGTCTTCGTTGCTGTGCGTGGGCTTTCTCTAGTTGCGGTGAGTGGGGTCTACTCTTTGTTGCAGTGTGCGGGCTGCGGGCCTCTCACTGCTGTGGCCTTTCCCGTTGCGGAGCACAGGCTCCAGACGGGCAGGCTCAGCGGCCATGGCTTACGGGCCCAGCCGCTCCGCGGCATGTGGGATCTTCCCAGACCGGGGCACAAACCCGCGTCCCCTGCATCGGCAGGTGGACTCTCAACCACTGGGCCACCAGGGAAGCCCAATGGTGGCTTCTCTTGTTGAGAAGCACAGGCTCTAGGTGCGTGGGCTTCAGTAGTTGGGGCACGCAGCCTCAGTAGTTGGGGCTCATGGGCTCTAGAGTGCAGGCTCGGTAGTTGTGGCACATGGGCTTAACTGCTCCGTGGCATGTGGGATCTTCCCAGACCAGGGATCAAACGCATTTCCCCTTCGTTGGCAGGCAGATTCTTAACCACTGTGCCACCAGGGAAGTCCCTCACCATTATTAAGTTACTATCTTTCCCTTTGTGCTAAAATGTATCTTGGGTGAAACACTTTGAATCTATGTAAATCCTGTTTCTCCTCAAATTTTCACCTACTAATTTAGCATCCATCTGTGGATCGTGTCTGCAAGTTATTACTGCAATGTTTGCCTAGTGGTGATTTTTGTTATCCCTCTTTCCTTCTCCATTTATTAATTGGAATTCTACTCTAAGAAAGAGTTGTCCCTTCTCTCCCATCCATTTAAATAACCAATTATTTGTTTGTATCAGTATGGATGCATGAATATTAAAAATAAATACCATGGGTCCATGGGTCATAATGCAATATTGTCATTTTTATTTTGCTGCTTTGGCCATTAGGAGCTCTTTCAGATTGGCTGCTGTTCTTGTGACATCCTTTTTTAAGTATTATTTCCTGGCACCACAATATACTCCAGGCTCATCTGGTAGTTTCGCTGCCTCAGCCTAGGAATCAGTTATTTCTCCAAGGTTCTCCTTGTTCTTTTTATCGGAAAATGGTGTTTAGAAATCAAGATCTGGATGCTAGGTATCCTCATCGCTTTTAAATACTCTCAGCAGACAGAACTAGGAAATATGTTTATTAATTCACACATACACACCAATCTATATTTCTGTACCTATTTTACATATATTAAAAACCATGAGTTTATACAGATACCTCAGAATCCAATCCAACACCACAGGCTTCATTTTAGCTCTCCCCTCTTCCTTACTTAATAACTTTTTTCTCCAACAGTGAGAAACACAGCTCATGATCTACAATATATTTGCTTAATTCTAACATGCATACTGGAGAGAAATACTTACGATGTGGATCACAGAATTTATGTACAGTTCAGTTGGTTTACTCTTAGGTATCCAGTCAAGATACTGTTTCCCTCAGTACTTAGGTGAGTTCTTTTCCTCCCCACCCCTTGTAGAGTCGCTGTGTTACTCATCTGTAAAACAGTCAAGTTCATTCCTTAGTGTTTATATTCAGTTTTGGGTCTTTCCTCTACCCTGACACATAGTGGGTTTTCTTTTTGTTTATTGCTTTATTATTGGAAATAAAATACATATCCTAAATTGCAGAGTTCCCTCAAAATTATCATTAAATGATCTGTTTTCTTTATTTTCTAATGTATTTTAAACATTACCCTAATAAAATTAAATATTGCATATTGAATGATTTTTCTTAATATTATGAACAGTTTTTAAAGAAAGCCAAAGAGATTCCTTTATTTGGATAGAAAACAGAAAATGTTACAATGAACTGTAAAATAAAATCAAGATATTTCTAGAAAACATTAAATCTCAATTTAAATCCAAATTACAAAGAAATTGTGGATTAAACTTTATGTGAGGTACTAAATCTCTGAGGCAAAGAATGTACAAACACCTTCAATCAATAATGCAAGATCAGGGAATTCCCTGGCACTCCTGTGGTTAGGACTCCGAGCTTCCATTGCAGAAGGCCCGGGTTTGATCCCTGGTCGGGGAATTAGGATCCCACAAGCCACGCAGCAAGGCCAAAAAATAAAAAATAAAGAAAGAATGCAAGACTGTATTAGAGATTAGAAAAAACTGGACTTTAATGTGAAAGTCATAGATGAAAGATGAGAGTTGTACATCAAAAGTTCTAGAACAGAACTGGGGGGGCAGGCAGAATAACAGCCTTACCCCAAGGATGTCCACAAAACCTGTGAATATATTAGGTTACAGACAAAGGGGGATTAAGGTTGCAGGTGAGCTAAAGTTCCTAATCAGTTGATTTTAAAATAGGGAGCTTATCCTAGATTATCTGGGTGGGCCTGTTGTAGTCACAAGGATCCTTAAAAGGGTAAGAGTTGGTCAGATACGACATGAGAAGGACCCAACCTACCATTGCTGGCTTTGAGATGGAAGAAGGGAGCCAGGAGCCGAGGAATGCAAGTAGCCTCTGGAAGCTGGAAAAGGAAACAAATTCTTCCCTTGAGCCCCCAGAAAGTAAGGCAGCCCTGCCAACACCTTGATTTTAGCCAAGTTTGAGACCCGAGTCAGACTTCTGACTTACAGAATTGTAAGATAGTAAGTCTGTGTTAAGCCACTATATTTGTGGTAATTTGTTAGCACAACAGAAAACAAATACAACAGACAACCTATACGTCTGAACTTTAAAGGACCATACAACTTGGTCCCTCCGCAGCTCACTGACTTTTCCCCCTTTTTTCTTTTCCTTTTGATTTATGCTCCTATCAGCTGGTTGTTACTGAAATATTATCGTAGTTGGTTTTAGGTGTTTATGTTTTTGGGTATGTGAAACATATGGTTCTAAGAGACAGTCCTGTATAAAAATATCTGCCACTCCTTTGTCGATCCTGCTACCTTGTTCCAATCCTCCCCTTCTTGCCACCCTTCTCATATAGGACATCATTCACCTTAACTTCTGGTTTATACCTCCCCTGACAAATGAGCAGGTATTTGTGTGTTTTATGTCCCCTTCTTTCTTTCACAAAGGGTGTATATTATACTTTTGCCTTTAAGCAAAATTAACTTTTCAAAGTCCAGCGAATTTGGCACAAGAAGGCTACTTAGTGACCTTAAGCAAATGCTGTTCTGCTTACGTGCTAAGGGCCAGGCTGAAATTAATTAAAACATGAGACATAAGGGAACAGAAATAGAATAGTTAACTTTCAGTAAGTTCTTCTAATCCTTATCTGCAGTTAGGCTCTACACTAGGTACTTCTCATCACAGATGCTGGTAACTGAATTGCATTAACTTTAGTAAATGTGGGTAGTAGGGGGCGCAAACTATGGAGTTGGCACAGACAAGTCAAATTATTTCCTTTTCAGAGGCTCACTGGGTGAGTGTTAGAATAGGGAGGCATTTCTGATGACAGGTCTGTGTGTTCACAAGTACTTGAATCCTAAGCCTTCACCTTGGCGCCTTGCACAAATATGCCACAGCATCGCAGTCTTGGTCGCTGAGCCTAAAGTGGAGCCCCAAACTACTGTTACGAGAGGTTCTACGGAGCATGCACTTCCCCACAGTATACAACCCCACCCAAAGGGGCCAAAAACAGGATAAAATATCACAGCCGAGCCTATACTTTCCCTCAAGTGAACTCAGCAGTGTTTGGTAGCCCCTAACAAACTAATCACAAGCAACCCCCCCAACCTCCTGCCTGAGGGAACGAATATTCCCAGGATCCCGGGCCGTTTCGACTGACGTTACTTCCGGGAAAAGTAACCTTTCTTTGGCGGTTGCAGACCTGGAGAGGTCTCGCGACATTTGCTCCCGCGAGATCTGCTTGCTCACTCTAGCGATGACATCCTCCTCCTCCTCCCCGCCGCCTTTCGGCAATCTTCGGCAGTCCCAGCCCCGACCAATCTGCACTCAGATGGCATGGATCAGGATCTCCCCCCGAACCCCGGTCCGCGCGGGGCGTCAGGCTGTAGCGGCGGGGTGCGAGCTGCACGAGGCCGACCGCAGCGGCACTGCGGACGGCCACGGGCTGGCGACGAGCAGTGAGCGTGGGCGGGGCAGGGGTAAGCCCGCTGAGTAGCGGCTCGATTGTTCTGGCCTGGCTATGGCGCCTCTCCTCCCCCCCGCCATGGCTCCCCGTGTCCCTGCTCCGCTCCTCTCAGTGAGTGAAAGTGGCCGCCGCCGCCGCCGGCCCAGCGCCCGCAGCCGCCTCAGCGCCGCCGCCATCTTGGGGTCCCAGGAGCCGCCGAGGGAGCGAGCTAGGAGCGTCCACGCCCAACGCAGTCACCGTCCCACGGCCTCAGAGAGCGAACCGCGGCTCCATCGTTGGCGGGGCGCCCCCCCCCCCCCGGGCCCCCGCCCGCCCCCCGCCCCCCCCTCCGCCGCCGCCGCGGCGGCGGGGCCCGGCGGCCCGAGGTGAGGCGACTAGACGTGGGCGGGCAAACGGAGGGGGGGGTTGTGTAGGCCCCGTTGCGCCCCTCTCTGTGGGCGACGACTGGGCCGCGTCTTAAAGGGGCCGTCGCCCCCGGCCCTTGGATTTGTTGGGGTTAGTAGGGAGGATGGGTGTGGACACTCCCCGAAGGCTTGGGACCTCAGGGACCTGGGCCTCGTCCTTCCCCTCTCCTACCTCTGGAGACCCAGGGTCACGCGGTGACCTCAGACAGCTGAGGAAGCCCGTGGGGCGCCCACACGTGGGGAGTGTGTTAGATCAGGTGCACGTGGGACCCGGTGGGGCGGTGTCGGGCTAACACGTGTGTGGGTTTGGGGTGGGGAGGGGCAGGGCGGGGGTTGGTTGGGCTCGAGTGGGAACCTGGTGAGGGTTGCTGTATCTGTCCTTTTAAACAAATGAGCTAAAGGGCTTGATAGTGTGTCAGTTTATGGTGAGCAAGTTGGGATCTGGGTGAATGGTGCATGCTGCTTGTTGGTGTTGGGTGGGGGCAGCCTAACACGTGCACAGGCTTAGGAGTGTGTAGGTGTCACCCCTTCTAGTGTTTTTGGCTTTTGTAGGGCGTCTAGGCAAATGTCATCCAGTTTGACGTTCCTTCTTGAGCTTGCTGTTGAAAACTACTTCCGTAAGTGGAAGCCCCCTACAGTTTAGGAGTGGGAGATTCTACGAAGGCACTCACTATTTTAGTTTAACGGCCAACTGTGCCGAATTCTTTGATTCGAACACTGTCTGGTTTTATGTTCGCGTACTTGTTGGTAGAATGGGAGACAAAATAGGAGGTTGATTTTGCTAACATCACAGGTAACCAATTTACTTTTCTAGTCGATGACTTTCATAATTTCCTTTCCCAAGGAAATTTTCACTGTGGTTTACAAGTGGTGGCTTTTTGTTATTTATCTTTAAAGTAACACCTTTATTGAAGTATAATTCACATACCAAAAAGCTCAGCCTTTTAAAGTGTACAGTTCCATGATTTTTAGTATACTGATAGATTTCTAGGGCTGTCACTGCTCTGTAACATCACTCCAAAAAGAAGGCCCCCTTAGCAGTTACTCCCCACTTCCCTTCCCCCAGCCCCTAGCAACCACTAGTCTCTTTTCTGTCTTTGTAGATTTGCCTATTCTGGATCTTTTGTATAAACAGAATCATACAATATGTGTCCCTTTGTGGCTGTCTTCTTTCACTTAACCATGTGTTCAAGGCTCATCCATGCTGTAGCGTGTATCAGCACTTCGTTCCTTTTTATTGCCAAATAGTATTCCAACTCTGGTTGTGTTTTATGCTTTTAATTCTCAAGCTCTTCCTATAAAACATTAAGTTGAGATTATTATATATGGTAAACGTTGCATACTTACCAGATTCTAAAATGAATTTGTATTTTTAAGGATTAAATTCCATTATTTTAGTTTACTATGTTCTTTTCCTCTACATTTTGTTTCAGAAGAATCAGAATCAATTTTTAAAGGTCTGTGTTTTTTAATAGGAAATAACTAACTGTAAAGAGAAAAAATATTAGAAAGTTTATGACTAATAAAAACGTTTTGAGTACATCAAGGTGGAAATGTGATTAAGTCTCAGCAACAGACCATAAACTATGGTGTTACAGCTTCACTTAGTGAAAGTTTGTCATAGTACTACCAAGGGAAGGTATCATAACAGCCTTTGACTGCTGTTAACTTGTGTAGACATAGGACTAGGGAAGTACTAATAGACGTCTTTTCTGCCCACAATGTTAAAACTGGCTTGGAGATTTAACATGTCAACATAAAAGTTCACACAAAATACAAACGCTGGGATGCAGTGAATTTTAGAGTGGACAGAATGGGATAAGGTTAATAGGAACCTTTGTGAAGGAAAATAAGTGAAGTTGATGACAAGTTTTTTTTTGTTTGTTTGCGATACGCGGGCCTCTTACTGTTGTGGCCTCTCCCGTTGCGGAGCAACAGGCTCCGGACGCGCAGGTTCAGCGGCCATGGCTCACGGGCCCAGCCGCTCCGCGGCATGTGGGATTTTCCCGGACCGGGGCACGAACCTGTGTCCCCTGCATTGGCAGGCGGACTCTCAACCACTGGACCACCAGGGAAGCCCGATGACAAGTTTTAAAGTTGCATCTTAAGCATAAGGATTTTGATACGATAGGCTGTAGCTTGCAGAAGATAAGAGCTTATTTGTTAATACTTACTAAACACCTTAAATGGGCACTGATCCTAATCATGAGGGCCTCTGTTCTACCTAATACCATCACCTTGGAGGTTAGGATTTCAATACATGAGTTGGGGAGGCGGGGGGACACAAACATTTGGACCATAGCTGTACATTAAGTCAAATTCATTTGTACAAGCACTGGATTCACTTGCTAATCATAATACAGTAGGTTTGCTTAGGGTTGAAAAGTTGGTCACAAAGAAGTTTAATGCCTGGGTTTAATAAGTACATAAGAGAGATTTCCATGTGTGTTAGGTTAGAAGTAGGAGATCAGTAATAGCAAATGTAATTGACAAATTAGATACGAAAAAATCACTGGGTCTAAATGCTATCCTTTTTGCTGCACCATGCAGCTTGTGGGATTTTAGTTCCCTAACCAGGGATTGAACCTGCACCCTTGGCAGGCAAAGCGCAGAGTCCTAACCACTGGAGCACCAGGGAATTCCCCATATTTTATTTATTTTTTTATTTTGCGGTACGCGGGCCTCTCGCTGTTGTGGCCTCTCCCGTTGCGGAGCACAGGCTCCGGACGCGCAGGCTCAGTGGCCGTGGCTCACGGGCCCAGCTGCTCCGCGGCATGTGGGATCTTCCCAGACCGGGGCACAAACCTGTGTCCCCTGCATCGGCAGGCGGACTCTCAACCACTGCACCACCAGGGAAGCCCAGGAATTCCCCATATTTTTAACAAACTAGAGGACAATGAGTAAACTGTGTGACATGGCTTTGTAAACCTTCGTTACCAAGGATTGACAGATTGTGTGATGGTCTCTGGAGTAGCATTCTTACATTATTTATGTGCCCTAAACTCCTTTGTAGTCTAAAGAAACCTGTGAACCCCTTTTCATAAAAAGAATATGGCTTTTTAACTGTGTGAAATGTAGTTCACATTAAAAAAAATTTATGATGTAAGAAATTTGCTTTTTATTACTAAATAACAACTAGTGATAGTCCTGCTAATACTGCTGTGGTATGCTACCTACATTCAGAATTGAAGGAAATGTTAGTTTCAATTATAGGTTAGTGAAAATAAGGATGTAAGTTTTTTTCCATCCAAATTCTTCGACCCCAGTTTAAAGAGCCTTTGCCCTGGAGAGTCCCGGACACATAGCTAAGTCATTTCATATGCAGCAAATCAGGGGTTTCCGTAAGAAGTAGTAGGATTATTGGCTTAAATTCACGTTCACATGAACAGGACTTCTTAGGGGAAGAGCAAGTGATAATCTAGCTGAAGAGAAACTTGGTAGTATAATAGAAAGAGATTGGTCTTGGACTTCAAAAGACTTGAGTTAGAGTCCCGCTTAGCACTGGGTAAGTCAATGAACTTTTTTTTTTTAAACAAATTTATTTATTTTATTTATTTATTTTTGGCTGCGTTGGGTCTTTGTTGCTGCACGCCAGCTTCCTCTAGTTGTGGTGAGCAGGGGCTTCTTTTGTTGCAGAGCATGGGCTCTAGGCATGTGGGCTTCAGTAGTTGCAGCACTTGGGCTCTAGAGCGCAGGCTCAGTAGTTGTGGCTCATGGGCTTAGTTGCTCTGCGGCATGTGGGAGCTTCCCGGACCAGGGATTGAACCCGTGTCCCCTGCATTGGCAGGCGGATTCTTAACCACTGCGCCACCAGGGAAGCCCTCAGTGAACTTTTTTGAGTTTCAGTTCTCCTTATGTGAGAATTTCACTTCTGAGATTAAATGACATCAACTATAAGACAGCATATTGAGGAATGTTAGTTTATTTTCATCTTTGAAGAACATATCAAAACTTTGACATACTTTTAGTTTTGATTTGGAAGAGGGGAAGCTTACAGTAGGAAAGAACAACATGTATGTCATATAGGGTTTTCTCAGAGTATTCATGTATAGTGTTCAAGTTTTTGTAATGATACTAAAATTATTCACATTTCTTGTAAATATGAACAAGTAAGCTGCCTCTGGTTTTGCATGTGACAGCTGCCTTTTCTGGGCAAGAAGTTAGTAGCTGGGTAGGATAAACTGTGGGTAAATCTTTCATTCCTTGTGCATGAACAGAAAAATGGCTAGTGAACATCAATGTGGTAAAAAGCATACTAGGCCAAGTGGTCAGTTTATCGCTGAGATTGTTGCCTGAATATTACCAGAAAGTCCATCAAAATGTTAGTCACTCCTGAGAGAGGTATGAAAAATAAAATTTAGAAATGGGCTGTGTTATCCTGGTAGGAAACCACAGTACATCCACTCTTAGACTATTAAATTATTGCACCTCAGTGAAGAACAGATTAAGCAGGGG